TATATATAATTTATATTTTTGGTGTTCTGCATGTTGATCAACAGTAACAAGAATGTAAGTTTCGGTTTCTAGGTTTTATAAGGTTATCAGTAAAACTTAAAATAAAAGCATGGGATAAAGTGGATGATACGTGTCTAAGCTCATTAATTTTTCTTTCTTGTGTTGTGGTTGTCAAACTATGATCTAGGCTTAATACCATTTCTTAAATATTGTTTAAACGTTTAATTATTTAAAAAAACTCAATGATCAGAAAGTTTGATAACATTTTCTACATACCTGCCCTACCGGAATTGTGGCGGAGAACAGAGCAGCGAACCGCAAAGTAGCTCCACGTGACAGACTGAGACGGGCGATATTAACACCCATGGAGAACGCTACCAGCCACTCGTGGACAGCAACGCCAAGCAACAGGTTAATCAGTGTACCAACATTGGACTGTAAGCCTAAAGCTAAGCCTTCGAATATTGAGTGAACGCTAAGAGACAAAACCAGCAAAAGAAAACGAACACCCGACTCTTCACGCACTAAACTACTGACATCGGCATGTGAATGCCCGTGTCCACTTGTATGACTGTGGCCACTTGTAGCTAGTGGAGAACTTTCTAGTTTATCGGTATAATCGTCATCGGAGGATGTCTGGTCAGTGTCTGATTTACTTACATGGTTAGATATAGTCTTTGTGGTTTTTGAATCTGTATCTTCTTCTTCCGTTGATTGACTAGCACCAGGGAGAAGTGGTTCTCGACTTTGACATTTTAAGTTATTCTTTGACCTGCGTGGGCCAGAATTTGTTTGAAAGTCATTCTTGTCTATATTGATGGAGGAACTGGAGTTTGTTGAAAGGACGGCAGATTTTTTTTCTTGATAGTCTAGCGCTACTTGTTCGATCAACAAAGCAAGGGAAAATCCAACGAAGACCATACACTCAGTAACTGGAATAGAAGTGTGAATGCCCTTCACCTCTAAAATTGCTTCAAACATCTCTCGCACTTCGGGAAGTAGCCCCACAAAAAATGTAGCCAGAAAGACTCCCCCCGAGAAACAGTTTGCTAGACTGAGAGCTAGCTGATACCTGATGCCACGTAGAGTTGCTGGCCAGCGGGCAACACACAAGTATGGCACCATAAAGGCTGCTAACATGCTGCCAAACATCCCCACTATACCTAAAAGTTGAACAGCCACCAACTCCATACCAGGATGATGTTCAATAGAATGTTTCTTCACAGTATTGCTGCAATGGAACGGTATACTCACATTCAACTGATCATGATACGTCAGATTCAGCTGCTTTAACGGTTCCCCCGTATTGACACGTAGATACATAACAGTATACGACAGGTGTACGCTCCCGTGTTATCAAAAATGCTGTGTTGTTTTCCTACACAGATGGTGGCTCACACACACACTGTTGATATTAGAAACGATTCACTAAGACCGGTAAACCTGAGAATGGCAAAACAGCTTCTTGTTAACTAATCAGAAACTTAAAAATAATTGAAATAATAATATTTCGCTAAATAACTTCACACATCTAATTATTACTCTGAAAACACATGCTACAACAGACTACAGCCTGAGACATGCTCTAGAAGTAAAACACTCACGTCGCTTCTTTTGGAACGTCGAACAAGTACTAATGCCTGTACCCACTGGTAGTTTTGCTCAAGTAGGTCGGTTCAATACAGAAACAAGAAAACGAGTTTTCACGTACCTGTAACGCCACCAGAGGGTATGTAAGACTGTGACGTCACCATCCTTTTGTTCAGTAATCTACAGAGTACAACACACCAGCTAAGTTTAGTGGATTTCTTATTATCAAAGCAAAGAGGTAAAAAACGTTCTTCCGCTTCCGTTGTCAACTGTTTCTTGTGTTTAAAATAACAATAACTACTAAAAGTAAGATATGCTATAGTTTTAAACACGTTGGTGTTATTTAGAGCAAAGTCACCCTTCCTGGCGAATTTCTTCATATATATTTTTTTTCAATTTTAATATTTCTTTATACCTCTGTCATTCATGCTAAAAAATTATTGATTTACATTATGCTAATATTTAAACATATGTCCACTCAACTTCGTATAACTATAATATTATAAACTTATTATATATGATATGTCTGAAGTCATCACCACGATAAATCCGCTAAAACTGAATTTAATAAAATAAGTGAATTACCACAATACATTTGCAGCTAGTTGCTTCGCCATTTTCGAAGGTGTTAATTTGAAGATAGTAAGTCGATAAGCTGCAAAGTCGTGCGTCTTAATTTAGGTCGGCGATATTTGTATATTGTTGTTGTTGTTAGTTTCACTACTTTTATCATATTTTTCCACTTTACTTCGTTTTTAGAATGTATTTCAATGAATGCTGGTAATTTCCTGAATTATAATGCACTACTCGATATCCTGCAACACACTTTCATCAGAAATGGTTGTCGAGTTCCATTGTAAATAACACGATTATATGTATAATGTTTTTACGCTTTAGTTTCCATGTGTTATTTCTTATAACAGTGGAGGATTTTATCCAAAACTCTTTCACTATATTAAACCCTAAGGTATAGGAGAATCGTTATCTTATGATGGAAATTATCTTGTTGAACTAGTAGCCATCTGACAAGAAGTGGATTTTCCCACTTATAGCAAATAACGTTTTGACTACTGTATTCTAAGACTAGTCCTATGTGTATATCCCACAAATTTGTGGTTCTTTTATGTAACCGGAGTGGATTACGTTGTGTTAAATACTGGTTATCTTCGAATTATTTTAAATATAAATGTTTGATTTTGTGCATTTTTATACAAAACTATACCACACGTGAAAATTAGAATTCAGGGTAACGCCGTCTTGTTAAAAAGAAAAAAGTCGAAACCATGTAACAACTTAGTGTGTAGGTGTATTTTGACTACAAAATAAGTGACTGTTTATTACGCCTTATGAAGGGAGTAAACGAAAATATTCTTAACATGTTGGTTGGTTGTTTATAGCACGAAACTACCCAATTGGCTGTCTATGTTCTGTCTACTGTGTGGATTCTAACCCCGGATTTTAGCGTTGTAAGTCTGCAAACTTATCGCTGAAAGTGATAAAGACTCCTCCGATTTTCAAATGAATGACTTGATTTTACACCGCTCACTTCCGGTGGGGTCCACATATTAAATTTTAGTGAGTAATTTTATGTTTTTACATATTATATACAACACTCGGAGTAAAGAACTAATTATAAAAAGGGTGAAATCACTCATTTTTTTTTTGTAAAATACCTATGATACTCTATGTGATTTATTTACAACATTGATGGTATCTTTGTTTACAATACTTTTTTAGGCTCGTATGTTATTAGGAACTGTGTGATCAATAAAGACGTGGACTCCAAAACCAGTTGATGCATTTAAATACTTTATATTGTTTTATAACAAAATGAAAGAAGAAAAAACCGACCCTATCGATAATTCGAGGGTTAAGAATTCGAACTCTTAATATTTGTCACTTTCCAGGATATTTCAGTGTTATTTTTACATAAACTGTGTTTGCAGAATGTTCAGAACGAACTAACTTGTTGGAACACTTGTCTAGTATCAAATGCGTGGATTCGAATTCTGCTTGGTTTAGTATTTTGTTGTTATTGATATTCTGACATGATTTTTAATTCTCATAAGTAATAATTCCAATGAATTTCGAGGAAAATGATGTCAAAAGGAATCGCCTAAGATAATTCACACATCCTTTTCAACCGGATAACGAATAAAGGCAGCTGCATTATGATTAAATGTAACAAAACCAACAAAATAAAATAAACTCGCTTTAGGGGAAAAAATTGCGGAAAGCGTTTCGACAAAACAGTTAACCGTTTCTTTAAATTTTCACGTTTTAAATTGGAAATTGTTAAAAGACAAACAATTTCTTATTGTACATTGGCCAGTATCAATAATACCACATTCTTATAGTTTTCCTATAATTTCTTGTAGCTCCTCAGTGGTATAGCGGTCTGCGAACTTACAGATAGCACATTGTGTAGCTTTGTGCTTAATTACAAACAAACAAACTATTTCTTATATAACATATAATATAATCATTCGGTACTTAACCTCATGCTTTGTAATTTAAGTAATTTTTGCATTAATACAATGAATAAAATACAATTATCTATATTGTTTTGAAAGACAGATATGAAAAACTGACGCTTAACTTTGAAATACATTTGATAAATTTGCGTTATAAGTTTGTGAATTACTTCACAATAATTATACTCTTGAGTTGTTGATGAACGTTGATATTAATATTTTATACTGGAACATGTAACTTAAGAAAACTGATAAACGTTTCATGTTAAGATTTTCGACTTTTAATCATATACCACTTTGGGTAGCATTTCAGGTTATTGACCTAGTCTTATTTTAAAAAAAATAATATTTTGATATACTTATAAAACTGATTGGAAGGTATTTAGATTAATTTATCCAAAAATTTCCATCCAAATTAGCTTATTAAATATTCAAAATATCAGTATTATTATCACTGAAATTCTTATCATTAATATCAAAAATTATGTTAAACCTTTATTATTGTAGTTTTACGTTTGTAACATTTCTCATAGATACGAATTGTCTCAGAATTTGCAATAGTTGCTGAGCGCCCCATCCTCAACAGTGGTTCAGCAGTAAGACTTAGAGCTTTTAACGCTAAAAACGGGGCTTCGATAAGATTTTGATCTTTTGATAAGATTTAAAGTTATTACTTGGAGTAAAAGAGGACTTAATAGGAAAATGGGTCAAAACTCCAACACAGACTCGGCATCACTGAACAAATTGTAAAGCAGGTATGCCCGGCATGGCCAGGTGGTTAGGGTGCTCGACTCGGAATCTGAGGGTCGCGGGTTCGAATCCCCGTCCCACCAAACACGCTCGCCCTTTCAGCCGTGGGGGCGTTATAATGTGACGGTCAATCCCACTATTCGTCGGTAAAAGATTAGCCCAAGAGTTGGCGATGGGTGTTGATGACTAACTGCCTTCCCTCTGGTCTTAACTGCTAAATTAGGGACGGCTAGCGCAGATAGCTTTCGTGTAGCTTTGCGCGAAATTAAAAAACAAACAAACAATAAAGCAGGTAACGTGCAAAACACTAGGATACAGTTTCCAAACTACCTTCTGAATGTAGCTGATTTGAGATTTACTGGAGAAAATTTGGAACGAAAAGGGTGAGACCCGTCAAAACACTTTCCCCTTCTTCCCCTCCTCCTGTAATTACGCCTTTACATTTGATATAATAATGTTTTATGATTAAAAGAAGGCGTGACAATTTTTATTTGTGCTTTTACCAAATGAAGTGTGAAGCTCCCTCACTAGAGTTTTCTATTGAATTACTAAAAAAATTTTTAAAATAGATTTTATTAATCTCTTTTAAAACCTCGGATTCTCAATAGCCACCCCAAAAGCGGCAGTTGTGCTGTAATTTATTGGTAGTTTTCTGTCAAAATCTTATATCGATTCGAATTTTTTAACTGGGAATTATAATATTCTAATTCGGGATGGTGGCGTTTCCACATAAAATGGGAATGTTAGTAATACCATTTTTTGCATTATTATTCATTTGAGATTTCTTTCTCGAGAAAATATATATTGTTACGTCTCCGTTCGTTAGTTAATTTTCCGTAAATTCGTTCCGACGAAACTTTAGCGACACAAGTCCTTTCTTAAATAAAACTGGTTTATTCTTTATGAATATAACTTTGCGATACACTTAATTTCAACAGTCGCGCTATAACAAACGCTATAATTCTCAACTAACGTCTCACGTGCTCGACTCAACAATACTCCGTTCAATTACACACACTGTTGCCGTCAATTTGTGACCGTCTTATATATACAAGACTACACTATATCTAGAAGGATCCCGAGATTTAAGGAAAGGACGTGAATGTTCGAAAACGACGTGGCGTGATACTAGTCACGTGACCTCTGTTGACGCAACAATATAATGTTTACATACCAACTGAGTTTGTAAATGTTTTGTTTTTATTTTTAATGATTTGCTAGCATAAGAATTGTGTCCTCTCCCTTTATTAGAGTTGTGTTGCAGGAATTCTGGACGATAGTTTAACCCAGTGATTAGAATGCCGGACTATGGATTCGAAGGTTTTTTATTCGTGTCCCGTTTTTGCAAAAACAAATTCCGCCATGGATGCATTCTAAGAGTGATGGTCAAGAAGCCCAATGTTGGTATTGGGGTGCCATTGACTAGTTGCATTCGCTGTAGTCTATCAGTTTAAAATTAGAGACATCTAGCATAACTAGTCCGTATGTAGATTTATGCGAATTTTCTGAGATATCTGTATATTTTTATGTCATGCATCTATCTCTTATCTTTGCCAGTTTTTTATTGCCTATAATGTTTAATGTGTGATATTTGCTGATCTAAACTTTAATGCAACTGCTTTCATCAATTCCAAAACTAAAGAGATTTAATTTCATTTTGAAATTATTAAATCCAGAAATTATCAGACACAATCTATTGGCATACAGATATGATGTGCACGTTATGCGATATGTTAAAAACTATGATATTCATTGCGGTACGTTTTCAGTATTTTTCAAACTTAAACAGAATAAAAAACTTGCTTTTTAGAAACCTTAATGTTATTAAAATCTACATTTTTTTTAATTGTTGATTTATTTTCTGTTATTAATTGAATGGATATTTTCTTATCGCTTATTTTGATAATATATTTATATTGCTTATCATTTATTATATTTAGTTTTCGAATTTTTAATGTAATTTTTCTGTATTATATTATTGTAATACTATTATTTTTTTATTATTTAAGCTTTTTTAAAATGGTTGTAGACATAAACAGGTATTAAATTTTATTAGATAACGAAAATATTTTCATTCATACTAGGTGTCACCATAGTATCTTGCTAAGGTGTTTGCGATTTAGGTCTGCGATTTGCAAATTAAATAGTGCGATAGAAATGAGAACTAAAGTTAGATAAGTAAGCTGCGAAGAAAGTTAAAGGTAATCTTTTACGTGATTTCATTTTAACTAATTTAATGTTATTTTATCAAAAATTACTGAAGCAAAAACCGTGTCAACAAGTTTGACAACGTTTACTTACAAGTTACGGTACTATTACTTGTACTCAATAGTACTAGTATTACTATTGACAGTTTTGTAATTGTAATTTGTACTCTATATTACTATATTAGTATTACTTATACTAATAACATAATTAATACTATTCACTAATACTGATACTACTATTAGTATTAGTAATAGCAGTACTAGGACTGCAATATTAACTTTATTTTTAATATTACTAATAGTTCCTTAACTGCCACTACTATTGTACTAATAATACTAGTTTACTACAGCCTTGGTTACATTACTTATAAATATAATTCTTATAAAATTAGGCTTAGAATTTTATTTATTGACATTGACAAAGTACATTCAACAAAACATCGCTTTCAAAAGTTTAAGGAAACTATAAAATATGCAATAACTCAGTTATTTTGTTGATATGAATAGATATTTAGGAAGTGAATTCTAATACTATAAATATGATACTGATACTATGAAGCATATTGTTGTCTAACTTTAAATTGTAACTTGTACTGTTAGTATTATAATCTTAACTTATTAGTACAAAGTATATTGCTTTGGTAAGATGGAGAATAAGTTACAGTATATTAAATATCATTTACTAGTTATAGATAATATATACAATTAGATTAAAATTTAAAGTCTAGTAAATTGTATGAAGCTGTTATGAATAATACCAGGTGTTTCAAAAGCCCCTTTCTGTGTTCATTTACCTAAATTCAGGATGAATACAGTGTTGTTAAACTTGGTGTGTAGGCCAATTTTACTATGTGAAAATCAATGTACCTTGTTATGGATGTGTTAGTATGACATCAGGGACACACTGCACTGGGTATACAAGTGTCATCCAAAATCATATACAAGCAGATAGTATGAATTTAGTACAAATGCAATGCATATGTTGTCTAGCACATGATCAAATTAGTCTGCACACAGAGTTTCACAGCACTGTATTCACCATTTTCCTGAACATAATCACCTGAACAGAGGAAATGACTTTTGAAACACCATTATATATATATCACTCAATGTAAGACTGTGTGGTACTTTTTCTAATAAAATCATAGTGTAAAAACTATGCCCAAAGTATCTTGCACTTTAAATTAGTCATCAGTGTTAACACTATACACAAAGGCTGAAACATAAGTAGCTTCTGTTTCTTGGGAAATAATGTTTTCTTTCCCAATGTATCATGAAACAAAACTTATTTAGTACTGTGCCTAGAGTGCAGGATTGTAGGAATACTGCATTATTCAAATGTGCATCCCCTTGAAACCTGTGCATTGCAGACTTGATGGTGAGTCTGGCATTTTGATCTATCTAATGCAAATTTAATGAGTAGGTCTATATTTTTATTGAGTGAGTCTTCCCGATTCATATGTCTTAAGTAATAACATGACTTCATTTATTTCACTTAAGATCAATCAAAGATCCACTAGCATGGAGGTGTAAATAAATTTTTATATGGTGAAATTTCTTTTAACAACCAAACTTATCTTTAACATCAAAATATAGCCAATAATTGAGAATTCTAGGTGAAAGTAAGGCAGAAATTTTGTCACAATTTATTTTATTTAGAAAATATTTAGTTTAAAATAAATTATGCAGCCACGATGACCCAAGTTTAGGGTCATCATAGTGGAACCTTATGGAGATGAGATGATACCTCTTTGGTCTTAGCACCTCTCCAGTGTTTTCCTCCATACAAATTCACCCAACCCTCTTACTTTGTGTAGAGTAACAGGAGAATTTGTGATTCCCCAGTTCCAAGCTGCTGAGGAAGTCCATATGGAGAGTTCCCCATTGGGTTGGTGTAATCTGACTGGTATGAGACCAAGTGGACACACCCTCAATTGGAAATTAGGCTGGAGTGTTTTCTTGAAGTATAATACAGGCCTCCTCACTAAACTATGAACCAAGTTATTCTTGGTGGCTAGACAGTCCAAATGGGTCTTGCATTCTCTTCAGGATGCAGAAATGGAACATTTTCTCCCTGCAGCTGATTATTCTAATAAGTATCTCACATAATTCTTTAATATAGTATGGCCTGACATTTCTCTACCCACACTACACATTCATGCCCAACTTACTGCCTGAGAGGTAAAAGCTGGTTGAGCATTTTCATATTCTGTCAACTTTTTGACACTTTAGCATCATGTAGAAGGTTCTTTTGCTCCATTATCTTTATTAGGCAGAAATTACCACCTTTGAAGAGGATGCAGTCTCCCACTGACTGTTGCCCCACTAGGTTACCTCCTTAATGGGTGACATGCTCCAAGGTGTTCACTTTCGGATCCCATGATTTCAGAAAGGGACTCATCATTGTGATTTATTTCTTTACACTGGCCTCTCCACCATCTTATCAGTAAGGGAATCAATATGAGAGGTGAGTATACATTTCTTAAGTTATTTTCCTTATCTGAAAATGTATTATACCTCTCTAGTTAACCTTCCACCCTTCCTCCCCACTTCCAGTGTATTTCTTTTGCTTCATCAAGAAAGAAACTTTGTTCTAACACTAGTGCTCATGGAAATTACAGTACATAGATGATGTTTAAGCAGAATATGATTTCAGCTGGTCTCTTGTTTTTCATTTTCTATGCTTCTTATGAAGCTACAGCTAATTTTAAATAAACAGAAGTCTTGTTCATGCAGATAGGTTGATGACTTGAAGGTATTACATATTGTTAGATTGTTATTAGTCTATGTCTAGTAATTTTAGACAAACAGTTAAATAAGCAACTCATTCAGCAACCATATTTGTATCATCTCTATTTCGGTGTGGAATTTGGCTTGGGGCTGTAGTAGAGGTGCAATCACATACATAAAAAATCAGCCTTTTAGAAAAATGTAATTCAAATAAATACTACCTCTGCCATAATTATTCCCACTCTGTTGGGCATTGGAAAAGATGCAGCTACAATATATAAGATTGTCTAAATGCAAGTTAGAGGTAGTAATAAGTAAAATGTGAATGGCCTATTCTATAATTAGAGGTCACAAGACAGGCAATTCCACAAGGAAAATTTTCATATAGAATGAGCTTCTGTGAGAATACACATTACGAATGGTGATCAATAAGAGAGGTAGTGTAGAGAAAGGGGGATAAGAAAAGTCTAATTCTTCACATGAACAAATGATATACATGTAACTTATGGTTATGATAGAGGTAAATCTCTCTGAAGTATATTTTACTAAAATGTTAATACTGAAAGCTTATAACACTGATACATGAAACATGAATGGGATAACCAGTATTATAGGATAATAAATCTTGTGAGTAAGGTAAAAGTATGCATTGGAATTTCTGTTTAGCTCAATTAATTTGCAATTCAGCCTGATTTCTTAATTATGATCCACACTTGAGAAGACAACTAATTAAACCAGAATATTGAATACAGTAGGAGAAACAGGTTCAAGAAATGTGTTCTGTTGTGTATTTGTATAAAAACCCAAATCCTGTATTCTTCAAACATAAATTCCCGTTTCTTTTTCACTAACAGGGTGACAAACATGTGGTTAGAATGTGTGAGTCATGATTACTTTTACTCATACCTCTACTTTGTAAGTGATGCCAAGTAACACCACAATATGTATGCTATAGCATGATCAACTTGCTGTAGAAGGACACATTACTTTTAACTAGGAAAAACTGTTTATGAAAAATTGTAAGTCAATTTATTCTGAATTATAATTCATGAGATGTTAATTAGTTTATAAGTTATGCACAGAACCAGTACAGAAATAAGCAATATAAGTTGATGAGACAAAATTCCAACTACAGAACACAGTGATTGTCATTAGAGCATAACATTTAGGATAGTCTCTACATATAAAAATATTTTGAATTATGTCTTGTGGCAGTATGAACTACAGTGCTTTACATAGGCAATGACCTAGTTTGAAACATTGTCATGAAAAGGTCTTTCATATAGAAACATAATGTAAAGCAATCATGTATATCTTTGTAACATATAAGTAATAAAATGCAGAGTAAAAATCCGTTATAATACAAAAATTATTAGATATATATAATCCTAGCTCTATTTTAACAACTGATTATGTGCTCTTTAATATTAAATCTAAATCATAGTATCCTTCAAATAGGTAAGATTTCTGTTTGAGGTTTATATGAAAAATTTTTTTTTTTACATTTATAATTATGAGAAAGTACAAATATTAAATAACAGAATGATGCACATGCATCAAGAAGTAATTTTATTCATGTACATTTTTTGAGAAATGTAAACTGAAAAAATATTTTCAGAAACTTTGATGTTTCATAAACAACCGGGTAAAAAAAATTGTGTTTCAGGTTGTACTTTAATTATATATATATATATATATATAATTAGAATATTTTTATATTGTAACCAGCTGGCCTGATGATTTATGGTATTGACTTAAAAGCTTCGTGGGCAGCATAATTCATTTAATGAGGTACATTTGAAATGC